CGTGGAAGAACAATTACAGATTATACGGACGTTTTCTACATTCTTGTCGTGGAAGAACAATTACAGATTATACGAATGTTTTCTACATTCTTGTCATGGAAGAACAATTAAAGATTATACGGACGTTTTCTACATTCTTGTCATGAAAGAGCAATTACAGATTATACGGACGTTTTCTACATTCTTGTCTTGAAAGAACAATTACAGATTATACGGACGTTTTCTACATTCTTGTCGTGGAAGGGTTACTTTGACTGTACTACTGCAAAAGCCTAGGTTTATATTATTTATGATTATAAGGCAAACTTGACTCTCTGTTCGTGAAGATTAGTGGGCATTATATTTGTAAAAACACTGTAGCAGAAGTTATATTTATTTTATAAACATGGAACAAATATCTTTTTACGCAAGATCATATCAAAGCCTCAAGAACACCCGACAGAATTTCTACGCACATGGTAAGTGTACACGTATCAAATTGAAGTACACCTTGATCATGTAATTTTTACATGACAGATTATAAATGGAATAACACTCAAACTGACGGCAGCCAATAGTTTTGGGTGAAAAAGTGATTTCTGTTAGAATTTTAGTGAAATAAATCCTTTTATGAAACAGTATTTGATGTGCTATTAGTCACAAGAACAGGTGGTTAGAATTCTGCTAAAATAAAAATTATAAAAACTTAATTCCTTATTATCATTAAAACTGACAGTCAGTCCTGATATTCTTATGTTTATTGTATAGTGAATTAACATTAATTTCTATTAAACTTCACCTTAGGTTGATTAAATGTTATTCCATAAAATTAATCTTAAACTTCCAGAAATCAATCTTTCAAAGTTAAAATACTTACCAAACAAGACACTACGAGGTGAGAACAGATGACATAAATTACAGAAAAATAGTGTTGATGGTCCCAAGCATGGAAGAAGATAATACCCCAAAAGGTATGCAACAGGATGAAAGCCAAGGTCGTGAACGCTAGAAACAAAAGAAACGGTTATTAATATATCACTGTTTGCATTTCAAGATCAAGCACTCTTTTGCACGGCATATTTTACTGGTTATTTTTGTATGGTAGGAAACACAAAGTAGATTAGTAACATTTTACATCAATTTTCTACCAAAATGTTTACACACAACATTTTAACTATCATCTTGATTAATGACCAGGAATAATATTATGAACGTTTTCATGAAATAAGAAATAATAAAATATTTGTATTATAAAAGGAGTTAATGAAAGCTACTCATAAAAAATATATTATTGTTATCAACAAAATGGATTTGAAAAAAAAGTAAACAGTTTGAAACACTAATTATATAACAGCTTACTAATCCTGTTTTAGCCAGTAGTAATTAACCATTGATTTTAATATGTTGGTTGATGAATACATGTGAATACCTTTAACCTGGCAAACATGATTTTATAATCTAATATATTACGGTAAGTTTGTGTCATAAAATCATGTGGAAATTATATTAAAACATTTTACAATGGTCATATAAGTTAACATTTTCCTAAACTGTAAATGTATTTCCAATAATACCTCCACTGACACTATAGCTATTTCTCAATCTCCATGGTTTCCACTCTTTGCCCATCTAAGTATTGAAAACGCTTGCTCCAGTCTTTTATACCCAACTTGAATGCCCTTGATAAATTCTAATTTGCAAAATTCTCCACCAACTTCAATGTGCCCTCTATCTAGGTACTGTATATAAGCACCTCATTCAGATAATGTAGCCACTAACACCAGCTCTTAATGGGGAGGAAGGGCAGGAGAGTGTCAGCAGAGGTAAGTATTATTGGAAATACATTTTGAATTTAGGAAAATGTTAACTTCCAAAACATACTTACCTCTGCTGCTACTTATGGCTAGAATCCCACATTGAGAAGGTGGGGGGGGGCAGTGAAGGCATTATCCATACAGAAAGCATCTGCAAAGATCACAGGTTTGCAAAGATAAGAATGGTACACGAGTGGGGGAACCACATTACATTCAGTATGGGTATGCACTTCACCTGGAACTCAGTTCCTGTATCAAAGGTAGAATAGTACATGAGTAAACATCAGTATAGGCCAGCCCCAACCAGATAAACAAGGTTCCATAATGCGTGGTTGGAGTTAAGGGGTCATGGTACCTATATCCCATGTTGGTGGCTAGGGCAATTGGACCTCAACATTATATATATGTATGTATAGATACTTTTGATTGGAACCCCACCTATAACCATAAAGTGATGCGTTTCACACCACCAAAATCACAATGAGAAAGTAAGCCACACCGAAGTGGACAAACTTCCTTCTACATCTGAAGAAGTCCAAAAAGTAACACTCCAAGCTTGGAATGATGAGATCATGCACGCCGTACTCAATCAAAGGAACACAGCTCATCCAGTCTGGAATTATGAATATGCATCCTCACTCCTCAACCAAGTGGGAAAGGAGTATTCTGTCTGCCCCTGGAATTATGGAGAGGGTATGGAACCTGTGCTCAACTTAGAACCTAGGATGGGACCACTTCACACTTGGAATTATGAGGAGATAGTGGACCTCCTTCCATGAACAATATACAAAATCAACATTGATCAAAGAAAAGGGCCATGCACCCCCCCCCCCCACCT